TGTCATAATTGACGACTTCTGGCTGAYGGCTTGGCTCCTTTTGCTTGCTTGAATAGTAGATAAATGCGAAGAACGGTTTGAAGACATTAAAATGGGCGCGTTTCTAATTCAATACAAAGTTTTCAATAGAATTTTCAAATTTTAAGCATCATAAAAAATAGCAAAAAAAAACAGGCGTATTTAGCAAGCAAGAAGAAAAAATAACGTAGCGAGGTTGGCAGACTCCTCATCGTACCAGCTCTTCTCTTGACTTTTCCGAAAACCATTGGTTTGCAGCTGAATGTAAGCAGCTTAAAATGGCGTTTAATAGTTCCATTATACCGAGTTGCTGAGGGCAAATCGAGTGGAAATCTCTTCGGTTGTCTATTGAACCTTCCTTGTGTTTATTGAGTGCGTTTTTTTGGTGCACAGAGGCGGGTGCGTATCTTGGCTGTAACAAGCTAATGGTCCGAGTCAATATTAGCACCTCAGATCGTCCGCACGTCTAAAATACTGGAGACGTATCTTTCGTCTATCATAACATGATCGAACTTCCGGCTGACTTTCCGATCCGAAGACAGCCAGGTAGCATGGGGATTTTTCCTATACTGGAATCGAGTACTACAGATAAACATATTTCAGCGAAGTCGAGCAGCCTAAAACATTTGGATATGTTTCATCACGGAGACTGAATTTATTAACCATTGTGCCAAGGATACCATATTTACACACCCTGGCTTTAAAGTCGCCAAACACGGGCAACTCTAATAGGTGCGCTTCTAGCACCCTTAGAGGACATCTTTAGTCGAAACGTTCTTTCTCTGCCGTCGTGGTTCTGGCTAGACGTTCGTCCAACCAGGCTGAATAATACCAGGTCTCGGCGATGGAGTCTCTCTCCCACAACACCAATCACCAACACCGAATTTGCGTTCCTTTATAGGGCCACTGTAGTAAATTCCAAAAAGGACTGAGTCCTTGTCCCGTCCATCGCACTTTTCGGAGGGCAGTAATGTCAGAATTACTATTACGAGGACATCAACCAGCTAGACAGCGAAACCTTAGCAATTAAGGGACTGAACATTCCAGGTGCATTCCCTTAAATCGTAATCCATAACAAGTTTGCAGTGGTCGTTATCAAAAGGGTGGTCTCTCATCCGCGGCTGTTTTGATCTTTTAATTGTGGGTGTTTTTTTACATGGTGGGTCCCAAACCAAGCCCACAACCCTGTAGAGGGATACTATTACCAGCACTGTTCATATTTTGATGCACAGTAACTGTATTCCCATCTCATTTTTACTTTCTTCGCGGTTTAAAGTGTCATTAGGAAGAAATTAGCGAAAAGAATATAGAAAGGCATCTGTTTCTGTGATCTAACTTACAAAAAGCAGTAGGCAATGACATACTAGGTACATAAATCCATATCCATACCATATATTATATTAGAGCATGTAACAATTACACAGACATATGTTTGCTCGCTATTATAAAATATTTGTAAAGTGATATTAAAACTGCCAGCACGTGTTGCAAACAAGCACACTCTTCTTCTTTGTTAACCGTAGACACATTGTTGCTGTTAAATGCATATTCAAAAAGCAATTAAGGGTGTCTAATTAAAACGGTGTGTTCAGCAAAATTATATTCAAAATGTATAATATAATTAACAAAATTAAATGGCAACAAATTGAAAACAAKCAAACAGAGATGAGAGCAGGAGATACATAAATTTATCGACGTTGAGAGGAATAATAGCTGAGAATATGAGGTTTTAAAATGGAAATATTTTAAATCAGGCCAATGTTGTTAATTGCAGTGAATATAATTTTTTTTTTAGAAATATTTAAAAGTAATAAAAGTTGTCAGAAATTAGTGAAAAGGAAATTATCTAATATTTTGTGTTGTAGTTTATTTTTAAAATATTTTAAATAAGAAAAAATAGTATGTTTGGAACATAAAAAAGTAAGTTTCCACCAAATTTTATGAATGAATTTTTTTTTGAAAAAAAATTAAAATAAAAAATACAAAAATTTAGTTATGTGAATTTTTCGCATAAGTCTTCAGGTTATTTGAAAAATAGAAAATTCAGCCATGTCCTTGCCTTTCCTTGTCCCAACCTGTAATCGCCCGTAAATTGTTTTGCCTTCATGTTTGTTATTTTATCTTTCATTGCCGATGGGTTACAATCTATAATGAATCCTTTTTTTTTTTTTTTCAAAAATTATTTACCCTGGTCTAAAAAAGCTTAAAGCTTTTCAATCATAATAAATTATAGGGTGTCCAGAAAAATTTCAACGATTTTCTACAATTTTATATAAAAACATTTTTTCTTTAAAAATATCATAGATTTACAGCCTTCTACAGTGTAGTCACTCAATTCAAGCAACCTTAGTTTAACMTTAAATGCATTATTTCAACATCTATGAAATCTGTTTCTTAGGAGACAAATGATCCTAGCAATATTAAATTTGTCGCCAAAAATTTTTGGTAAAAATTTCGTCAATTTTTTAACTTYGAATTTAGGACGTGCAATGACAATATATTCTGGTTAACGAGGAGGTCGGAATAACATCGTTTTAATGCTGTCGGAAGTATTGTATAACTCAAAAAAATTTTTTTTTTTATAAAAAAGTTAAAAACCTCAAAAATTAACAGCTAATAAAGTGGAGAGTCTCAAATAATTGGCACTTGACTATASCCACGATTTCAACCCTCTTAGCAAACTGAAATTTATAATTTAGAATAATATCGCTATGCCTAGGACAAAGGAAAAGTAAAAAAATATCATGATTGCATAAAAAACCATTTTTGTACTTTTATTTGTGGATGTGGCTAGTTCCAGAGATAGACAAGTACATATGTATATGAAAAAGGCTCTCATAAAATTGTAGTTAAATCGCTCCAGCAAAACTTGAAAAATCGTGAGTGTCAGTTTCGAGAAAAACGCGTTTAAAGTTTCAATTCGGTYCGAAACGAATGTTTATAAAACTACCCTCAAGCATTTAGAGTATTTTTTAGTTTGTTTAGAAGTTTTTTTTTTTTTGATTTGCAAAAATCGCATTTGTTAAACTGGTATTGCTGATGTTTGGGTGTGCCTCTTAAGTGAATGGGAAAATGGAGATTATTTTCTTTAAATAAGAATTGCTTTCTTTCTTTAAATATAAATCACTGTATTCCTTGTTTAGGATTACAATCTGCACATATTTTCACAACTACATGGACATGTAATTTTATTATACCCTACCTTCTCTGTAAGCCTAAGCAGCTTTTGACTATTAGCCGACATTCCAAGATTTCATTACATATCTCCCACCCATTTCTTTTCCTTACASGCTCTCCTACCTCACATTCATATTTTTTGCTTTCTTATCACAGCTTTCTCTTCCTCTTTCTTCCCTGCAGCGTTGCTCCCCCTCGTGCACTTGTCGACTAAGTAACAATCATTCATCAGCCACTTAACTTTTATTTGATCCGATTTGTGTGTCGTGMTTTTTACTACATTTTCTTGCTTTGCTGCTACTTTTGTGAGATTTTGCTTTTATTTTTGTGAGATTTTTCCTTTTGTTCTTGTATATGCACATATCTTAGCGGAAAATTCTCCTCTAATCTCGTAATCTACTTTTATCTGGCGTYGATTACATTTACATGCAAATATCAATATGCTTTATGCTTGATTTACTGCGTAAATATTATTATTCGAAAGTTAAGGAGACTAATTTTATTTGGTTTGGGTAGAAGAGTTGAAAAAAAAAGTAATATTATGAGTACTTATGGGACATGGAGGTGGCTTTGTTGACGAGGAAGAGCAACTCGAACAGGTTTTTATATTTTCTGACAGAAAGGAGAATATTTAGGCAACATAACCTAGAWTAGAGAGCATACGAGAATGTTCCGACTCAAAAAAAACAAGAAAACTGATTGTTACGAACGAGAAAGGAAACTATTACTATMTCACAAGAAATTATTAGAATATCCACTAACAATGGGACGAACTAACTAGAGATCTATCGAACTCATCTAATACGTAGACCATAATAACATTCCAATTTATTGGTCTTGTGACATTAAGGTTACATGGGTTTCCTCGAGTAAAAAACAGCCATTTTTCAAAAAATTTTGTTTTATATAAAAAATTTATTTTTTTATTAGAATTTATTATTGTTATAAACATATACTATTAATAAATAAAATCTAAAATTTTTAGAAAAAAAAAATATTTTAATTTCGTATGGAAAAAAGATACGCCCGCGTTGGCAGGGTAACTACTTACAGAATCATCTAAAGTAGAAAAATAGAAAATTAGAGCTTGGACGAATAAAAAAAATTAAAATTGGATTTTTGGCAGACAAAAAAAAATTAAGATTTCTGTGAAATTGCGATTTTTTTTGTTTGTTTTTAAATAGTTGTAATCAAAATAAAATCCTTCGTCCAAGTCTTTGATAATTGTATTTCAAAGACCTGTGAAAAATTACACGAAGATCAGTTGAGCAGTTGTCGAGAAATCTTGCCAACCGACTTCAAAAACACGGTTTCGAGAAAAACGGGTTTAAAGACTTAAGAACTTTAAGAACTTGAAAATTTAGGAAAATATTTTAGTGGTGTTGTCGAATTTAATAAGATAATAAAAAAAATCGATTTTTTGAAGCCCTTAAACCCATGTAACCCGTTAAATGACGGTTTCGATGGCTTCGGTTAACAAACTCGGGCAGTGCAAATTTAGTAAACAACAATCCYTGAAATTTGGGTTGCAAGATTTGAAAGAATTTACACTGAAGCAAGAACAATAATCTCACACATATTAAAAATTAGAAAGTATAGTGAAGATTTCGTCATCCACTTGTCATACGTATTCTCAAAACACACGTTTCTTTCTAATCACTACCTTGCGCAGAAGGAAAAAAAATCTAATCGGTTTAAATTAATTACAGCTCAAGCTATGAATTCATTAAAAATTTAAAGAAAATATCCAAAAAACGTTACTTTTAATCAAGCACATTTTCGTTATCCGCTTATTTTTTCCATAGTAACAAGCGGGTGGCGCAATGCAATCGACTGATTCTGGAGATGGAGCAAAAAACTTCAATCAGCACATCACCAGTCATTTGGCATCATCATCCGCAGCGGGACCAGCAACAGCAACAGCAACAACAACATTAAACGACSCGTCCGCAACCGCACAGCACAACAGAAGCAACAGCACGGCCCAACACGACACACCCAGCAGGAATCCCTTCAAGCAAACACCGACTCCCCAGTGGAGCAGCGAACAGCAAAGATTAGCGCAGCAACAGCAGCTACAACAACAACCGAATGGCAGCAACAAAATCTACAACAACAGCGTACAGCATGCCAACGAAGCAGGCGCTGGCATTTTTGGCGTCGGTGGCGCGACAACAACCGCAACAACAGCGACGGCACAAGCAACACCGACACCAAACTCCCACACAGATCCGGCAGCAATCAAGACACCAGGACGACATTATATGACACCGCAACCACCGCCGCCGGATCATTGCCGGCAGGAGGATTACCGCGCCGCCGGCTCGTGGGCCACCTTCAAGAATTGGATGATCGGCTGGCGCGGCTCACGACAACTCGTCTTGATCATTGTGGCCATTGCGTTGTTATTGGATAATATGTTGTTGACCACTGTTGGTAAGTACCAATACGAGTATATAATATGTAGAATATATAGTATTTCTAGTGTCAGTAAGCTAGCCAATTTATGCGACGCCACATTGTTTATGTGATTTCCTTTTATTTTTTTGATTCCCATCATCCATTTCGCACTTATTTATTTGCTCTCGCCAATCTGTCTGTCGGCGTACGTTAATTTAAGCAAATCAAATGCGTTGCTCAATCACCTGGAAGTTGTCCATTTACCGTTATTCATTTACCGTTACTTCACTTTTATTTTCACACCTGCCATTCGCCTTGCTGCCAAGTCATGAATAAAATACRACGCCATCATCTGGCTGGAGTGTTGTGGTTTACCGCAAAATAAGTAAGAAAAAAAGAATAATATTATCGCACCACTTAATGTAATGGATGTGCTATCTTCGGAATTTCCTTTAGTGGCTCATCAATTCTTTAATGCTCCGTAATTTATGGGGTTGCTCGCAGTCATTAACTTGATTTTCGCTACATATATTTAGTTTAGAAGTGTTAGAGTTAATTTTAGATGGATAAGAATGAAACATTTGAGTTTAYGTTTTATGATTCGTAAGGATTTGTGGTTATATGTACTATCTCCGAAGGTTCCCAAGTAGAGTTGCCTTTATCATTTGTCATGTCCAATAGATCATTATATACTGCATGATCCTTCCAAAGGTTTTCAATCTTTGGATTTCGCATTAATAGATCTTTTCGCTGGTGCATTGTCTTCCATGCGTACGTCATGGCTAAATCACAAATCAGCTTTATTCATATAGCTATAGAGCTCATACAGTTCGTGGTACCATATTCGTTGGTACTCTTCGCTCACGTGGACGACTCCATAGACTTTGCGGAGAACTGTTCTTTCGAAAGCTTCAAGTGCTTTCTCATCTCGGCTCCTTAACGTTCATGTTTTAGCGCCGTATAATAGAACGAAAATGAAATGACTTTCAAAAGTGTTTTTGTCGGGAAAGAGAATATCTAGGGACGTCCAACGTCCYCTAACAGGAAGAAGCATTTGTTTGGATCTAGGTTCAATTAACTTGAATAGTATAAYTCTAAAAATTGTAGCGGCAGAAATTTTCCGAGTTGACAGTTCTTGGTCAGAAAAAAYTCCGGGTCCGTTCCGGTTACATAGACCCGAATATTGTGGGAACGGAATTCTAATTGATTTCGGTTTTTTTTCCAAAGATAAATTGATGAATTACTCACGGAATTTTCCTGTCCAAGTGGCAATTAAMAGTTCCAAACGTTGCATCTTCCCAATGTAGACCAATCTTTCTTAACTTCTCATTTCGCAAAAGCTCTTAACTTAAGTGCTTGACTAAAATCACCTTCGCTTACGAGTACATCCCAAATAGAAGTACCTTCATCAAATTCTCAACCATTAATTTAATCCATGCGAGCATAATTTATTACTTTATTATGCAKGTTGGCGGGTGAAAATGAATAAATTTTGTGTAAACGTAAGGTCATCGCATAACTTAGACGGCGTTAAGTTGATTTAGGATGTGATTTGATTTATGTGTGGAGAAAGCTCACTTGGCAAAAGTGATCTCTACTCAGTAGTAAATTACATCTCACTTTATAAATTTCGTCTTTACTTTACCGATTGCTTTCATTCATGAAATACTGCTTAATTTTCTTATTTAACGCTATTTGCACATTTTCCATTTCCTCTACCGGCGCGTTTGTCGTAACTTTCCGGCTAGTTAACAAACTATTYGCCAGTTTTTTACTTCCTCTATCTGCTGTCATTGTTCCATGCCACTTCAAAGTTATTCTATCACTAGTGAGCTCACGAAAAAAATTACTTTCTTCCTCCTTTTTATGGTTTCTTTGCTTTTATTTTATCTTACCATTTTGTGYTGCCTGCTTTGAAGGCTTTGACATTGACTTCCGTATTTGTGGTGGCTTGTTTCAACAAGTTGCTTGAATTTAATATACATGGTTTGTGGTGAAGGTACAGTGTTTTCGGAATAATTGAAATTTTATTATTTATTTTTTGTTAAATTCTAACTTTGATTTCATTGCTTTTTGACTTAAGCAATTATTTCATAAAAAGTGAGATTTTCCTCGGGAATCTGGAGAACGTGTKTATTATGATGCAAATGCTAAAAAGTTGAAGAAAGGGAATTTCCGTCTCTAGTAAGAAAATGTTAACCAATTTAGTATATTTATGACTCAAAAAGGCTGCTCAGATAAGTGTTTAACTTCAATGGCCAACGTACTAAGTATAATTGTCTTACAATGAGCCTAATAGTACGCAACATTTTCACATTACCTTTGGCTTAAAAAACTTTTGTATCGCAAAAACTTTTCTTTTTCCAAATGTTTTCGTCTTTCCAATTTGAAAAAGTTACTCAGAGTAGCTCTCTAGGTGTTTGACTTCGATAGATCATCTGTTTAGTACTGTCATTTGCTAATCAGCCCAATTATAGGCAACATTTTCATATTACCTTTGGCTTAAGCAAAATTATATATACATATTACAAAAACTTTAGACGAAATGCTAGCGTCTCCCGTTAGCCATTTTCAGCCATGCTCTGTATTTGTGATATGAAAAAGTTACTCAGTTAAAATCTCTGGGTTTTTGTTTTCGATACATCAATTGTTAAGTATTGACATTTTGAAATGCGCCTAATTGTAGGCAACATTTCTACATAATTTAAATATTTACTGATTTTTTCTTCAATATCATTCATTTTTCAAACCAAAAATGAAAATATCTTATTTTACCTCAATATCTTCAAATCTTTACACACTGTGCCAGCTGCAAATGTTCACTTTACACTCACTTTCCACGCATTTAAATACTTTTACACACGTTTCCTGTTCCTTTCTGCGTTGCTTCGCTCGGTAAATAGTTTTAAGAAAACATTTCGTCGCAGAAAGTCAAAAAAAAAAAAATTCGCAAGTTTTCATGAAAGCAATTCCGCTACGCCAAATGCTTGTAAAAGCATTAGCAAAACTCCAGCCACTTGTTGCTTTGTCAGCGGCGTTTTCGTTTTACCCACATGTTTACGCACAAAAAGAAAAAAACACAAAAACCAAATACCTTCAAACGTTTTTCCACCCAACACTACGATATGAATTCGTAATGCCAGCCACTTGAGCCATTTTCTCTGCCATTCGCTACGCTCCAACCACATCAACTCTCCCGTCCTTCATATAATATTATCCTGTCGCCAATGCCGATTTCAATGCATCAATTCCACTTGAATGCGAACGCCATTGTTGTTGAACCTTAGTTTGTGTTGTTGCACGAGTGTTTGTGTGTGTAGGTGTTTTCAGTGAATTGGCTGCACTTGCTTTRTGTGGCATTGAGGCGTTCAAGTGTTGCCAAATGCAAACAGTGTTCATACAATCGACCGCAGGCACCCGCATACTGTCCAAACCACCGTTCTGACTTCTCACCACCTCTCTCCAATACTCACTTTCTCCCCTCACTAGCTGTCCACACTTAAGTAGCTGACCATGGCGCTCTTACAGCACTGTCCGTTTCATTATGTCCAACCACTTGACATAAGCACTTCACTTTCCGATTCGATTTACTGTCACGACAAATGAACTGCCAACACCGGTTTTATAGGATTCGAAATGCCTTCACCATACCTTATACATAATATGGCTTTTGGAGCGCGCTATGTTGAAATCTATTTATATATATTTACTATATATCGCTTAACATACATATGTATGTATAATGATACGTATTTATATTTGTTTAATTGATTTTCTCATCCCACCGGGTCTCACCGCCCTCATACATCTCCAACAACAGCTTGAGTATGCGCTTGCTTGACGCAGGGCGTCGACAAAAGTGCGTGAAACGTTAATAACGCAGACAAATATCACTTCAAGTTTGATTAACGTAGCTACTATCCGTATGCTACGTAGGTATGCATGTTTGTAGGACCAATTGAGGCTTGGCATAATTGGTCTACCAATTATGTGGTGACTGCATTTGATTTCATTTGCTTTGCTGTCGATTTGTCTATGTGCAAGTGCTTTTGGCATTATAGCGCCGAAGTGGCGAGCTGCTTTAGATCGGAACCCACTCACCTACTCTTCTGGTAGTTTATTTTGCGCTCTAGCAGAACATGCGGGGTTTTACAAACCAGAGTAAGCCTACATTTTTTCACTCAGAACTGACTCTCTAGCTAGTATTATGATTTATACAATCTTTCTGAKGTTTTATTTGCATGAATTAGAAAGTTCCTGCATTCAACGGTGCCCTAACCGCTTTAAAGTGTCCACTTTAAAGCAACCCTATTCTATATTTCTATAATAACATATAAAGCTCAAGATTTTGTACAAAGCAGAGAGTGGAATCTCACTTTACTTCCTAAGAATCTAWCAAATTTTCTAAACAAGGAAAGATCTTTGACTCTTCTTAAACCACCGGGTCCGTGATACTAGGGTAGAAGAAACCCACTATATTTCCAAAGAAGCTACCCAATTTTTGACATAACGAAAAGGTCTATAACTCTTTTTCAAGCTCCGGGTCCTGTACGCAAGCGCGAAATAACTGGTGAGATTGTATTTTGCATTTTCCGAAAGGGCCGTCAGACGGTTCAGCAAGAGATGATATGTCTTAAAGGCATGCAATATCGCCAAGATCATGTTCAAGGTTACGGAACGAAAATATGCGTGCTTTTTATTCACACGGTCATGAAAAGCCTGTCGGATGGTTGTTGCTCTAGTTACAGGCAACAACAATGACGTCCTTTGCATCGTACAAGACTTCAAGATGTTAAACTGAACCTTCGTCTGGCATTACGAATAACCTGTAGATCTATGCATGGCATGACAGCGCGCCAGTATAACCCAACCTTCTTCGAAGTTTCCGTTCCCACGGCAGTCAGATCTACGTAACCGGAAYGGACCCGGATTTTTCATGCGATCAATGGCAATCAACTCAGCAGAATTCTGCCGTTACAAAAACAACAACCTTACTCGCATTCCTCGCTGGTATTTTTAAGTATGGTTCTTTATATATAAATTTAAGTATTTTGAAGTATACGCAATCGGCACAGCCCATATTTCTCGGTTTAAAGAAACGTAGATAAGAGTATAGTATAATTTTTTTTCTTTTTCATTTCTATAAAAATATGAGCAAGTATTGTGAAATCATTCCCACTGTGAGAGAAATCAACAAAAAGCATTCAAACAGTTCTGAGTAGTAAAACAGTGTTTTTTAATTTCGAAAAATTATTATAATAGAAGCTTTATTTAGCACACAATTTCAAAATTGAGCCATACTCCATATATGTATATAAGTATAGTACTAATTCGATTTTTTGATACAGAATTTATTTTTTTTTTTTTTTGTAATAGATCATTTTATATAATAACTTTAAAACCCTAAATTAAAATACATTTTTAAAGCTCAAAATATCTAAGTGAGTCAAGCATTTTCAAAGGCTTAGTTAATTAAATGGTATTCATGCATACTACGAGTATATTAATAAAGCTTGAGCCGTATTTATAATAAATAYATATTTGTACATGTTTATTCCATATTTATATAGATGGTTATATGCCATATATCAAAAACAATTTAGAAATATTTTAAAAATCATAACTTATTACCTTCAAATCCTTTTTATATAAAGTGATTTTTTGAGAAGAGACATTTTTAGTGAGACAACCAGCTTTGAGATATGAGGAGCATTATAAGATTTACATGGGTTTACGAGTTTCAAACACAATTTTTTTTTCTCGAAACTGTATTTTTGAAACCAGTTGGCAAGATTTCTCGAGAACTACTCAATCGAACTTCATGAAGTTTTTCAATACAATAATTAAAGACTTGGACGAAGGTTTTTTTTTCGGTTACAACTATTTGAAAAAAAAAATCGCGAAATTTTTACACAAATTTTCATTTTTTTTGTCTGTCAAAAATCAATTTTCCAGTTTTTCCCCCCTCATCCAAGCTCTAAGTTAAGGTTTTAACTTAAGCACGTATTTTTCACATTAACTGATCCTGTAGGGAGTTATCTTGCCAACGCGGTCGCATCTCTTTTCCGAGAGGTCACCGGAAAAGGCTGAGTTTAAAAAAAAAAATTCCGAAAATTTCAGAAATTAATTGCTAATAATGTATTTTTGTAACAATAAAAAATTCTAATAAATAATTTAATTCTTTATATGAGAAAATACACTTTGGAAAGGCTGTTTTTTACCCGAGAAAACCCATGTAGCCCCTTCAGGCTAATGGTAACATTGTCATACTTGGAGTGCGAGAACTTCCGAAGAAACGCTTGGAGCTATGAAAAAAACATTGCAATATTGTATTAAAATTTTTTTAAAAAATTATGTAAATATTATTCAAATTTTTTTTAATTATTAAATATTATTAAAATATTTTTTTTAAGATATTAAATGCATATATGGCCACGTTTCCAATTTTCATACTCAATAATATAGAAAATCTCTGATTATTGCTTTAAACATACGAAAATCAATATTAAATAAAAAATCCAATAGGCTCCTTAAATAGTTAAATTAAAATATAAAACTTGYCAAAACAAATGAGTTTCAATTTTCATAGTTTTTTCAATTTCCACATTTTTTTTAACTTATTTATTTTCAATAACAAACACAAATGGCTCACCCTATATGCAACATAAAAAATAACAGGGCAAACATAGCTCTTTTACAAATCACCACCAACTTTCGCGCCTTGCAACTCAGCTATGTCCACAGTTTCTGCCTTGTCCAACGKCCTTCTACTCTCCTCCCCTGTACGCCCTACACGACGCTTCTGTTCCTGCTCTTGACGCTCGCCTTCAGCTGCGGCTTCTGCCACATTTTCATTCATTTCTTCCTGCAAGGAGCTCTGTCGATTTCTGGCGCCACCCGCACCACTGCTGCCAGCGCCACCACCACCGCATGAGAAATATGCATTGATTTGCCGCTGCAGCGCCTCCTTATTCACCCCCGTCTCCAGTATTTGCTTATGTATCATGTGACTGTAGCGTTGCTCAAAACTGCGTTGATGTGGTAAAATATCGGGTACCGTCGAGCGACGCTTTTCGGGACTCGAAGTGGCGCTGCTCAAACCGCCATCCTCCAAGCTGTCGTCCGACATGATTTGGCCCTCGCTCCCTCTTCCTTCTTATTATATTTAGTTTATTAGCTGCGATTAGCACTTTATTAGTATTTATTGTTTGGTTTTGTTGTTGTTTTTATTGATTTTAATTATTATATTTATTTGTTGCTTTATTAGCAGCGACATGCGCTGGAACTTTTATTATTCTTGTTTCGCGTTRCTTTCACGATTGTCGTCCGTTCATAGGCACGGCGAATACTCGAATAAACCGTAATTTTYTAAAAACAACACATTTGTTCTGCAAATGAAATCCGCTAAAACAACAAATAATGACAATGTCCTTCCTTGCAACTCAAACTATATAAATGTAAGCGCTTTTGTTGCGCATTTTGGACAAGTCATGCGGTGRCAGACATGTACCGAGCGGCACATACATATGTATGCTTATGTATGTGTATGATCCGTTATAGTCCTAACTAAGGCATAATAAAGCAACAACTAAGTTTGACGCGCAACAATGAAGAGACAAACTGCCATTTCATTGATGACGAAGTTTGTGCTTTAAGAAAAGGAAAATAAGCTAATAGCAAAAAAAAAAAAAAACGTTAACTTCGCTGCCGCCGAAGACATAATACCCTTCACAAATAAAAAATGTCTATAGAAGAAACTGATTTTGATCGGTCGGTATGGTAAGTAATGGTAAAGTTGTATGGCAATTAGATGCTAAAGTGATACGATCTGAACAATTTCTTCGGGGATTTCACGCTTTGCAAAATAATAGGTACCAAATTTCACGAAGRTATCTCGTCAAATAAAAAAGTTTTCCTTACAAAAACTTGATTCCAATCATTTCGTTTGTATGGCAGCTATATGCTATAGTAGTCCGATATCTGTGGTCCGATACCGCTAAATAAACCGCTTCTTAGGGAGAAAAGGATGTGTGCAAAATATCATACAGATATCKCGAAAACTATGGGACTAGTTCACGTATATACAGCTGGCCGCACTGTCTTTTTATACTTTTGCAGCATGTTGCTACAAAATATAATAGTTTTATTCACCTAACCAATGTATGAGTAACCTTAATAAAATCAGGAGAAAACTCGTGCTAGACCCCATATGACCCACAGGTCTTATGTACCTGAAGGCACAAGTTGCAAGAGTTAGAAATATTCGGCAATATCCGAATTTAGTTCTTCTCACTTGCTTATACATATATATGCTTTATAGAGCGTTCGATGTTTCCTTCTGTGTATTACGAACTACGTGGCCAGCTTAATGTACCCTATTCAGGGTATAAAAAGATATAACAAGAACAATACAAATGCGACGTCTTATAATTYCAACGTCGTACGAGTATAACGGCGCGACTGCATACAATTGACATATGAAATATTAAAACGTATTCGTACGTTTGTAWATATGTATGCACATATATATGTTTGCATATTAAATTTAGGCTATATGGGGCTTAGAGGCCTGAGTCCATGTATACAAGTGTGCATATACGGTGTGAGTATGTATATGTGTGTATACGCCGCGCCGTCAAAATTAGTTTCGAAAAGGTCACCCAACTTTTGCACTTAAAATAATGGAGAAAATCGAGCAACAGCACGCATTCAACAGCCAATGTTGGGTGACTCACAGGCGCGTTGCTAGATTTACCGGGAGGCAGTTGTGTCGCGTACAAGGCTGCACGTTCAAAAGGAAAAACGGAAGTAATATAATTTTATGCWAACTGATTTCCGTACTATGAACTTAAAAATATCCACTGGGGCTTCTTCTACTACTTTTTTCAACCGCTTAAACAATTATGAACTGTCATTTCGCAGTAGTGGAATTTTTAAAAGTTTGTTCMTCAGTCGATATATAYTACATATAGTTGTGGRCAAGTTACGACTTGACYTTTCCATCGAGTTGTATCTTTAGTTATAATCACAGAACTGCCTTCTGTCAGAACATGTTTCGACGGTTTTAAAGCATCTTTGCTTTTTTATATAACGCGCTTGAGCAGAAAAAGAACCGATACTTTAAGGAACAGCTTTTTAKAAACACGGACACACTAAAATTACCAAACACACACCCTAACCATCATTACTACCCCTGACATGGTCAGAGTCTCACGCCCGACTCCCTAATTACCAGCCAAATAAACAATCAACAAGCGCTGCCTACCAGCTTAAATTGTCGTCAGTGAAGTACTCTAGCTTAACTTTGCTTCTACAACAATAAAACAATAAAACAATAAAACAAATAATAAAACCGACAACAAAGCACACAACCATCAAAATTACGACAAAAATATGAAAGTCAGTGGCGACAGCGGATTTATTGCATTTACCTTTTGTAGTTTGCTTATTAAAATTATATTTTTGTTTCACCCATAGTTTTGTTTAGCCTACCTCAAGGCGTTGTGGTTTGCATGCCAATTATTTATAACATTTTGACGGCTTTTGAAATTTCGCAGCTGCTTGAAAGTGTGTTGCCATAGGCAAACAAATCAATATGTTTATTCTTAGCTATAAATATTTAATATATGTGCTAAATATAAACCGTTTCATAATAATTTCTTTGCACCTCTAACCTAATTGAGATAACATTTTCTAATGTTAAGTTTCAATACTAGCATACAGATKAGACCCGTTTTAACTAGTTATTGACTAGTTGAAATTATCAAATCAGCCGCATATAAAAAATGTGCARGTTTTATATAAATTATTTAAAATATAAAGAACATATAACCTATAAAAAATGTAAATGACATTTCCGTAAGACTTATTTAGCTCATTTTCACATTTGGGGAGATCGTGTAGTGGTTGAACACGATATGGTCGTCGAATGGCACTCAAGAGCGGACASTATGCGAAACTTAATAAATATTATACAACGGATTATCTACTAATTCATACGTAGCTCATTTCAATAGAATTTCCTACAGGGTCTTCAAATATTCATCACAAATATTAGACTACTTTTTGTCATGATTTTGAGTTTTATATATTTTCTTGGATACGACAGCCCCCATATTAGTCTACGTACGATGCACATACATATGAAAGCATTCGTGTATGTGTAAAATTATATTTATGTTATATGTACATATCTAGTATATGGTATTATGCCTACTAAGGTAACGTATACGCCTCAGGGTACAATGCTGAAAATGTAGACAGCGGACAAAAGAAGAGACAAGTATTTATAGGTATGTTCGTTGCTTGAAACACATAAAAACATGAGGGAGATAGAGTTGTGTTAGACTAGATTTTATAAAAAAATATTTTTTTGAAATAAAAGTTTTGGAAAACGGTAGTTATAGTAAGTTAATAAAAATGTACCTATATGTTACCGTTTTCGAAATTGTTATTTTCAAAAACTATTTTTTTGAATATTTTTTTAAACACTTTTTTCAAAAAYATTGTTTTTAAAAACATTTTCTTTTCAAAATTATGAGATATATAGTATTATGTTAGACTAGATTTGATAATTAAAAAAAAAAAGAAATTGGTAATTATAGTAAATGACCGTTTTCAAAAACTGATCTTTTTTTCAAAAACATTTTCTTCCAAAAAAAAAAATTAAAATTTACCTTTAGGTTACCGTCTTCAAAAACTTATTTTCAAAACTAATTTTTTTCAAAAACATTGTTTTTAAAACTTTTTTCAAAATGTTTGTCATTTTGTAGTATATTTCTATTTTTTGAAAAAATTTGTAAGCTCTTGGGTAGCAGGATAAGAAGCCTGAGATCAGATATTTTATTTATTTATTTATTTCAATATGACCTGTAAATAAATTTACAGACATATTAAAAAAAAGGAGAACTGGCTGCTTAGGCCTTCGTCCCAAGATAGATAGAGTATTTTATAAAAGTACACAAGGCTCTTCTAATCCGTTTTAAGCAACAAAGCACATAAGCCTATAAATATACATACATATATTACTGCATTCAATGTACATACATATACATACATATATACTAGTGTCTGACCTTTTAGCCTTTTTCCAGCGGTATTGCGCAGTAATTATCAAGACAATAAAAGATTTTAATTCACTTTTGACATGATATCAATCATTCTAGCCAACCAAGAGTGAATACAAAGTGRCGAAATAATAATAAAATAATGATGTACTAAGTATAAACAAAACTAGCATACATACATACATACATATATGTATGTATTATGACATGCAGTGCTTTAACTTTTTCATAAATCCATTACAATAGCCTAGACATACATATGCATATGGTATAAATATAGGTGGGCGTGCCGCGTTCATGGCCGTTCAACGGCAAACGAGTTTTGCAATGCCTTGCTGCGGTTCAACGCTAAAATGCACTCGCGTTAAGACAAATTACTTTTTACGATATTCGCTCTGCGGGAGTTTCGAACTTTACCGAATTGCATTTAAGCAGGAAAATAAAGACAGCCAAACTTTTGTCATACTTTGCTGACTTAATGCAGCGTTACGTRTTCTAGCATGATATCATTTGGGCTCCTTGACTAATTTCACAGTGTCAACTGTAGGCTTGACTGTTTGAATATRCTACGTACATCTTTATGTATAAAACGAAGCAAAAAAATAGTAAGACTTTGTTCATAATTTTAAAATTCTTAATTTATTCTTCACAATCTATGTCTTTCCCCTCAATATAATCCCCTTGACCCCAATAGGCTTATTACACCGTTTTTTCCAAACCTTGAAACCCTTGTTAAAGTGAATTTCCGAAAAAGCCTTAATACGCGTAGCGATTCACGTTTAATGTCTTCAATTGACACAAATTGGTTTCCCCGGAGCGTTCGTTGGAGTTTCCTGAACAGCCAGAAGCGTCATAGAACTAAGTGAATACGGTGGTTGCGGCACGATTCTGTCTGAAGATTTGCATTATCATGGTGCTATACATAAGAGTTATCGGCCCACATTTCCAACCACTTTTAACGAATAGTTACACGGAACGTCGCATAACATTCAAATAGTATTCCTTGTTGACAGTTTGGTCGTTCGGAAGGAATACGGAGTGCACCACACTTCGATAATCGAAAAAAACTGT